ACAATAACAAATTTAAGTGGGACAATAATCGGAGCCACCTTACATTTATAAATCTATTTACTTTTCCACTGGATCGCTGACGTGTACGGCCCAGATTCAAACTTCGGTGCATCCAAGATTCCCCATTTGTTTATAAAAAAGTCTTCCTCCCTTACTCTCCATTATTGCTTCTCTTGGCTAGCCTTTTTCTTTCTCATCTCTCCCCTAATTCAAGATCTGAAACCCAAATAGGGTAGATCTGAGCTGAAATTCTCTGAAAGTTCGAATTTTAAAGAACTGGATTCGTCCGGATCGTAATTGATTGAGTTAATTTTCACTCTAATTTAATCTGGTTACGTGTTTTTGGGTTTAATTTTTGGTGTTGTAAAGCTGTTCCGGATGAATTGATGGAGCTGGGTGGAGGGTGGGGGGATTGATTTCTGAGTGAAGAAGAGTTTTATTTTGGATTTTGATTGATCTGGAAATACATGCTTAAGTGTGGATCTAATTGGAAAACTTTTGAAAAAGAAACCCTAGGTGAGATGGGGAAGGAAGAAAGTAGAGCTGAGGATGTTGAAGAGGGGGAAATTTCGGATTCAGCTTCGGTTGAGGAGATCAGTGAAGAGGATTTTAGAGGGGATGATGTTAGGATTTTGAATGAATCGAAATCGAAGCAAGATTCAAATTCGAGGGGTTGGCCGGTGCACGATCTGTATAAGAAGTATCCGACCATTTGCAGAGGATATGCTTCTGGATTATATAACCTTGCGTGGGCGTCGGCTGTGCAGAATAAACCACTCAATGAGATTTTTGTGATGGAAGCTAATAAGGATGACAACTCTAAGGGATCTTCGCAGGTGTCTTCTGATGCTTCTGCAGATGGTAAAGAGGGCAAGAGTAGTGGTGGGAGTTCTGTGAAGGAAATGGGTGATTACATGGAAGTCAATGGTGAGAAGGAAGAAGGAGAGCTGGAGGAGGGTGAAATTGATTTGGATTCTGAGCCGATTGAGAAGGTGATTGGCGAGGACAAAGAAGGGGGTTTGAGCAGTGGAAATGTTGGTGTCTGTAACTCGGAGGCTGATTTAGAGAAGAAAGTAAACTTGGTTAGGGGAGTACTGGAAGGCATTACCGGAGCTGAAGCAGAGAAGTAAGTTCGAAGTCCAAATTGGCTATTTGCTGAGTTTTGCCAGTTGGGTTCAGTTATGGAAGTACATTGAAACTTAACTCATTTTGGGCTGCTGAAAAAAAAAAGGCCTGACTTTTTCCCTTTTTTCCCTTTCCTTTTGTAGATCTCTGGAGGAAGTTTGTTCCAGGCTGCAAAAGGCTTTGGAGATCCTGAGAGAACTGATACTGGAGAAGAATGTTCCCAAGAATGACTCTCTCATTCAACTAGCATTTGGAGCAGTGAATTGTGTAAGACATCCACCTGTTTCTCATTTCTATCATTGTTTTGCTCAATTGATTTGACTGAAAGTCCTGTTTAATTCAGAATGCTGGTTCTATTGCTTATTATTCATTACATTGCAGGTGTTTTTCTCCAAGAAACGTAATTTGGAGGAACAAAATAATGGCATCTTATCAAGGTTCTAGTTTTAATAGTCTCTTTTTGGGTCTAACTGAAAATTCTCCATGGCATCAATTTTTTTAATTACCTTTCCTTTTTGTGACAGGTTATTTTCCGTTTTAAAGAGCCATGATCCTCCTCTATTCTCTTATTCTCAGATGAAAGAGGTATGCTTCTTTTAATAAGTTTGGGAACTAATGCTATTAACCTAGAACTAGAAAGATTATTACACGTTCATGGAAACTTAATATTGGTTTCTATATTGACAGATAGAGGTCATGCTACTCTCACTGGATTCCCATGATAGAGCTAATGATCAATATAAAGGGATTAAGGTCACTGATGGGGTGCATAGACAGGTTTCTGATGTTTTAGTTGAAAATGATGGTCATGATTTGACTTCCACGAATAATTTGTCTTTATCTGTGGAATCCATGGTTCAGAATAAGCCAAACACATTGTTAGAAGCTTCTAAACCTGGAGTGTCTAGTTTTAGGAATAGAGCCCCTTTACTTCCTCTGCTAGACCTTCACAAGGACCATGATGCAGATAGCCTTCCCTCACCCACGCGAGGAACGGCACCTGCCTTACCTCTGCTCAAGCCAGTGACTGTTGGAGACCTGACAGGGAAACCGGAATGTTTTCTAAGTAAGATGGCAAATGTTGCTGAAGAAACTAGACTGCACCCATATGAAACTGATGCTCTCAAGGCTGTTTCTTCCTATCAACAAAAATTTAGTCACAGCTCATTCTCTTTGACTGGTAGGCTTCCAAGTCCCACCCCTTCCGAAGAATCTGGTGATGGGGATGGTGATATTGGTGTTGAAGTTTCAAGTTCCTCCAAAGTTGGTAACTTTAAACCAAATCCACGTGTTTCAGGGCAGCCAACTGGTTCCTTTCCCCTGCCCACAGATAGTATCAGTTCAGGCATGAAAGCACTGGCCACTTCTATAACCGCTGCACCAGTTGGGCCTAATGCAGCAGTCAAAGTGTCAGCAAAAAGCAGAGATCCTAGACTTAGGTTTGCCAACGACGCGAGTGCTTTGGATTTGAACCAACAGCCCCTTCATAATACAGCTAAAGTCGAACCTGTTGGAGGAATAATGAGTTCTAGAAAGCAAAAGAGTGTTGAGGACTCTATCGAGGACAGTCCCGCACTGAAGAGGCAAAGGAATAAGATTGAGAGTTCTGGGGTCATTAGGGATGTTAATATTGCATCTGGAACTGGTGGCTGGTTGGAGGAAACTGATGTTGTTGGATGTCAAGTTATGAATAAAGACCAAAAAGTACATAATGCAGATCCCAATGCCAGTAGGTTGGATAACAGGGTAACCTGTTCTGTTACTGTTAGTCCTCACACCAATGTGGCTGTTGGTGGAAATGAGCAGGTGCAGGTACCAGTGACAAGCACTAGTACTCCTGTCTCATTACCTCTTTTACTGAAAGATTTGGTTGTGAATCCAACCATGCTTGTAAATTTACTTATGGGGCAACAGCAGAGATCAACTTCTGAATCTCAATCAAAATCTATTGGACCTGTAACTAGTCTTCCACATCATCCAAGTTCCACCAATTCAGTACTGGCAGCAGTTTCAACTGTGAATGCTGCTTTGTCAGATCTCTCAGGGAATTTGCCAAAACAAGCAGGAACTCTTCAGATTCCTTCTCAGGTAAGATTCATAATGAGCACTTCATTTTAAGTTTCTTTTAAAAATTTGGAATCACACTTGTTCAAGTCATCTCCCTATTTAGCAAATGTGGCCTCTTGACAACTCCTACTACTGTTTCATCATGCATCAAAATAAGGTTTAAAATCAAAATATTGTTAGTTGCTTCTAGTGTTAGATATTCCGAGCAATTCATATCTCTGTTGCATGTATATCATGATTCTTAACTTGAATTAACATGTCCTTATAGGATGAGTCTGGAAAAATTCGAATGAAACCTCGTGATCCTCGTCGTGTTCTCCATGGAAATGCAATTCAAAAGAGTGTTGGCTTGGGGTCTGAGCAATTCGGAATAAATGGACCCCCTACACCAAACATTCAAGGAATCAAGGACAATCTGAATTCACAAAAGCTTGAGGGTCATTCGGAATCTAAGCCAATGCAATTGCTTTCCATTCCAGCCCCAGATATTGCTCAACAATTTACCAATAATCTCAAAAACATTGCTGATATTATGTCTGTTTCAAGAGCATCCACGAGTCCAATGTCTCAGCCTTTAGTATCCCAACCCATGCAAATTAAGTCAGAAAGAGTGGATATGAAAGCAGTAGCATCAAATTCTGAAGAGCAGCAATCTGTGACTGGTTCAGCCCCAGTAGGTGCAACAGGCCCTCATCCCCAGAACACATGGGGCGATGTTGCACATCTTTTTGAAGGATATGATGATCAGCAAAAAGCTGCAATCCAGAGAGAAAGGGCAAGGAGGATTGCTGAGCAGAAGAAAATGTTTGCTGCACGCAAGCTCTGTCTTGTCTTGGATCTGGACCATACACTTCTTAATTCAGCCAAGGTGAGTTCTGCATTTATGAAGTATTAACTTTTTTTTCTGTCATTTTTCAATTTATTTTATATTTCCTGTGACTAATATTTAAAAAGAGTGCTTGTCCTTCTATTCAAGGTTTTCATATTTTCTTTACAGTTTGTTGAGGTAGACCCAATTCATGCGGAGATCTTGAGAAAAAAAGAGGAACAAGATCATGAAAAACCACAGAGGCATCTCTTCCGCTTTCCTCATATGGGAATGTGGACCAAATTGCGACCCGGAATCTGGAATTTCTTAGAGAAGGTCATTCAATGAGACCTTTCCTTTAATATGATTCCCACCTCTTACATTAAGCACTCAGTGTATTTTGCATGCATTTCAGGCCAGTAAGCTATATGAACTGCATCTTTACACAATGGGGAACAGGCTATATGCCACAGAGATGGCCAAAGTGCTAGATCCAAAAGGGACTTTGTTTGCTGGTCGAGTTATATCTAGGGGTGATGATGGAGATCCGTATGATGGTGATGAGAGGGTTCCCAAGAGTAAGGATCTGGAAGGGGTTTTGGGTATGGAATCAGCTGTTGTTATCATTGATGATTCTGTGAGAGTCTGGCCACATAATAAATTAAACTTAATTGTTGTAGAACGGTAAGCATTGTTGGATTGAGTAATTCATGGGTTTTGGTTGTTGGCATCCAATTTTTGTTTACCCATCTAATCATAACATGCTACAGGTACATGTATTTTCCATGTAGTAGACGCCAATTTGGGCTCCCAGGTCCTTCTCTTCTTGAGATTGACCATGATGAAAGACCAGAAGATGGGACTTTGGCATCTTCTTTGGCGGTGAGGCAATTGTTTTAAATGACCTTATGGTTTGTATGCAATTAACATTTCCCTTGTTAACCATTTCTCATTTTTTCTTGCATCAAATAGGTTATTGAAAGAATACATCAGCATTTTTTCTCCAATCATAATTTAGACGAAGTGGATGTTAGGAATATCTTAGCTGAAGAGCAGCGGAAGATTTTGGCTAATTGTCGTATAGTATTTAGCCGGATATTTCCTGTTGGTGAAGTGAATCCTCAGCTACACCCATTATGGCAGACAGCTGAACAGTTTGGAGCTGTGTGCACTAATCAGATAGATGAACAGGTTACACATGTTGTGGCTCATTCCCCTGGGACTGACAAGGTATTGGTGTTTGCCATTTCTTGCTTTCTGAAAAACTTAGTATAGCAGTCATAACTTAATTGTTAATTTGGAATAATTGACATGTTTCAAGATGCCACTTTTCGGAGAGCTTGATAGGATGGGTTGAGCAACCCATCTACAAATTTGAGTCTTGAGATTTATGCATGATCCGTATTTCCATTCAAAATCCTTTTGATAAATATAGATGTTTTTATTGCACTAAATCTAATAGAATGGGAAAATTGGATCTTAGCCATAAATTTATGGTATGAATTTTTTTATCTTTATCAGGGTTAAGATGTGACAGTTTTCAATGACCATGTAAATCTTTCATTCTGAGATTTAAATTATTATATGTTGTTATAAACAGGTAAATTGGGCTGTAGCCAATGGCAGATTTGTTGTCCATCCTGGCTGGTGAGATAGTCTCTCCTATTCAATTTATGGTTGTGTTGGCAATTTATTGTATTTGGACTTAGCATGTGATTCTATTTTTCCTTCTCAAAAACAGGGTTGAAGCATCAGCATTGCTCTACCGGAGGGCAAATGAACTTGATTTTGCCATTAAATGACAAAATCACGATCCAAACCCTTCTTTGGTAAAAATCCAAGACCTAAAAAATATAGTATATACCAACTTGCACTTGTGGATGGAGCTATCAGGTCATTTTTAAATGGTTGAGGTTAGACCGGGATGCCTTCCATCAATTTGTCATCGATTTGTCATCAATTTGCTGGAAAAGAGTTCCAATAACCTGGTTTGGTCAAATGCTTTCGAAGATTGTCTTTCCCCGGAGAGCCTCAGAACATTCCTTTTCTTGTTGGTGATTGATTGGGGATAAAACATCCAGTCTGAGAGTTAGTTGATTACGGTGAATACTGGTAACAACGAACCTAAAATTTCCAAAATGCCTATTGTGTGTGAGATGAAAGTATTAAGAAAAGAATGATCAAAAAGGTTGAGTAATAGCGGAGAAAAGGTCCCATCTAAGCAAAGAACCCTTTCTGTGCGTCCATACGGGTAAATGGGGTAAGGGAGACTGGGTTCATGCTGTCTATAACTCAACCCCACCTTTCTGTCATTTGGCTACGTGGTCCTATGTGTTTCTCTGTTAATTTTAAAAAATCCCTTGCTGGTTGGAGTAACGAAAGACAAAAATGCATATCTGACAACTCGGTACTTGAAATTGGAGGGATACAGATCCTAGAATTTGTTGACGATTCATCAGATCTCGTCAGGCTGTGTTTGGTCGGGAAAATTTTTTTTCCTTAATTCAGAAAAGTTAAGGGGGTTCTCTAGAAAAAAAGAAAAAAAAAAGAAGCATTTTTCAAATTAGACTGTATATTAAAATGTAATTCCAACACTGAAATTATAAAATTATTTTTAATGAAACACTTTTATATTTTCATTAATTATTAGTAATTTAATAATTTCAGTGTTTGAATTATTTTTTTAAAACAAAAAACTCATACTATAATTTAAAAGTACAGGTGAAATTGAAAAACATGAGACTCATACTAAAATTGAATTAAGGATAAAGGTGACATTTCCGCTCCAAAATTTTTTTGCACAAGTACTAGATGGGTTTCTCAGTATATATAATAATATAAATAGCATGAAGGTCCCCTTTCAGGATATTCACATGTTGAAAACGAAGAAAGCTAAGGTTGGTGGGTTCATGTCAAAAGGACCAAGGGAAAATGCTATCTATTCCGAGCCAGAAACCTTTCAGACGAGTGATTATGATTGCTGACACTTCTGTTACATATGGGGGTTGTTTTCTCATTATAACATATAAACATAAGAGGTTTTTTAAGTCGGATTATACATTAAAAATACAGTTTAATTTATAAATTTATCAAAATGACTTTAATACATTTTTTTTTATATTATTTCATTAATGACTTTTTTAGATCAAGTTATACATTAAAAATATAATTTAATGAAAAAAAAATATATGAATCTCATATATATTTATTAATAGCATGAAGATCCTTTTCAGGATATTCACTTGTTGAAAACGAAGAAAGCCAAGGTTGGTGGGTTCATGTCAAAAGATCTTAGGACTAAGGAAAAAATGCTATCTACCCCAAGCAAGAAAACTTTCAGACGAGTGATTATGATTACTGAGACTTCCAAGAGGACAATCAAGAGATCTTTGAACTTCTCTTCAAGTAATTATTCGAGGGAATGGATTCTTTCAAATATCGATCTGATTTGGACAGTGAGAGAAGTTTTTTCCCAATCCTGAGTCTTGATGATACATTTGCACCCCTTTTATTGGATAAAGCATTGGAGTCGATACTCACACAACAATATTTTGTTCCCTCATTTCTTTTGACATAGGCGATATCCTTTCACTAAGTATTTTTTATGATATATACTTCCCTCAAATAAAAATTTAACTTATATGAATAATAATAAAAATTTTCTATTAATATGTAGTTTTTGTTGAGTATTTTATTTGATAAAAAAATGTTAATTATTACTTATATAATATATTAAATTTTATTTGAAATTTATATTTAAAAAGTCAAATTAAAAGCACTTGGGTTTTGCAGTTGTAAAATGTATCCCCCAGCCCAAGGATTAGAGTTCAAATGCCCCCACCCTCCAAATGTAAACTTATTCAAAAAAAAAAAAAAAGTCAAATAAAAATTACTAAAATTGAATGAAGATAATATTGTATGTA